ATACACACACACACATACACACATATATATATATGCATATACATTTATGTATAGCAAAAAAATTCCCGGATACTGGTTTTATGTATCGTCGCCGCTATTTTAATGTGTTTGAATGCGTTGCAAATTTGTTATTCGGTGATCTATTCGAGTTATTGTTGCTGTACTATTTCAACATACCCTGAATTCTACTCGGGACTAGTCAGAGAGCTAATATTCGCTATAAAATTGGCTAAAGAGTGAGTGCAGGTTTAAATAGCTATTCTATTCGAATATCACAATTGTTACTTTTTGTGTGGAGCTAAACTAATAATACATGTCTAGCAATTTGTACGTAATATGTACAAATGTACATAGTTTCTTTAGTTTAAAAAATATAAGAACAGTATTACTTTAACTAATTATGTACTACACACCACACAGACTGTTACAGAGAGACAGAGACGTATCCGACTTCATCTATGATCTGAGGTGTATTTAACAGAGGCAAGAGGTCTGAAAACAATGACAATCTGAGGCTTCTGCTCACAAACGAGCTTTTGTAGCCAATAAAGTAGCGAGCTTGCCATATCTATGCCATTTTTGTCTTTCTCTCTTCACACAGAGCCTCATGCCCTCAGAGGGAATAAAATTATAAAATCTCTGATGACATGATGATTGTGGAATTGTGACACTCTGACACGGCCACGAACCACAAAACATAAATGATGACAAATTGCTGTCATATTATCGTCTGCCAAGAAACATTTTCAATCGTAAATTGCAAGTATGGCTGATGTTACGACTCTTTCCAGAGAGGGGCTTATAGCCACACGGCATAGATTGCATAGAGTCTCTGTACCCAAATAAGTAGACCTCGACGGTACTTGTATATATAGACTGTCTCTACCATAGTCTCGCCCCAAAAATCTCAAATATTTATCACATTCGAAAACCATTTGAATATTCAAAATTGGAACTATGACTGCGCAAGACATCGACGTTGTGGTGGTTGGCTCTTGCAACGTAGACTACACATGGTATAATTGACGACCGAGAAGCGCTCACAAAATTCCTCTTCGATAATAATTTTGCTCGCTTGTGATTAATATATCATACCTGTTTGCTATATCCTGATTCCCCTCATATTCAATACTGTGTTCGCTGTAGTCTCTCATATTCTCTTACACGCTGTATTGTTTGCAACCACAGCTTCGTTGAATCGCCGCCTAATCCTGGAGAAACAATCAGTGGAGAGAACTTCCGTACGAACCAAGGCGGTAAAGGTATGTAAAGGATGTGTGTAATCTCTCCGGAAAATCCAATATGAATTCGGCAAGGGTCCCATTTTAGTCGCCTGCCATTAATTGATATTACAAGTCGACTTAGTGATCATTGTGCGATGTTGAAATTGAGTAAATTTTCAGTCAATCTTCATTACAACGGTACATTTAAGGCATCGGTATGCCTGCATCACTATATTGAAGTGCTTCGCATTACACATATCTCACTGCATTAAGTACATGTATATTGTTTTAAATACAATCGGACAGTACTGCCACTTTACGCTCCTACTGAGTAACATACCTAAGTCTTTGTATGTAAAATTTACCAGAGCTTCTTCGGTGTTTTGTAACAGGTGCTAATGTCTGTGTCATGGCTGCACGATGCGGTGCGAAGACTGCAATGGCCGGAAAGGTCAGTACATTGTTTCTAGCTGTTGCACTTCTGCTTCTCTGTATATGAGAGGTACAATAATTTTGGCACCCCCCTATATTTTTATGCGCTCCAGTGGAAGTTGCTAGCTACAATATCAGGATGCTTGTATGCTCATTCCTATCTTAAACTTTGATCCTACAGATCGGTGCTGATGTAGGCGGCGATTCGTACGCCTGCGAGCTCCGCAAGGATGGCATAGATACATCCAAATTGCTTGTCGACCCTACACTTGCCACTGGTACCGCTCTCATAATTGTGGACGCGAAAGGTGTGTATATCGATGTCTTCAATAATAATCTCAGTTGGACTGATATGGAGAATTCCAGGTTTAGTTTTGTGCATGCGTGCCGTCGCAGAATCAATGTTTGTTCTACTCTACTAAGCTTGAGCATAATTGGGTTTCTGGTCCGGTATCGGAACTCTTTTCATCATTGCACGTTGGTGGGTATCAAGACGCAATTTAACCTCAGAAATAACAGCCTCAATTACCCAACCAACCTCTGCAGGCGAGAACCAAATAGTGGTTTGTGCTGGCGCAAATGGAGCATATAGCGAGGAAGATGTGAAAGACTGCGAGTCTTTAATTGAGCGATGTATTGTCATGGTCTGCCAATTGGTATGACGTTGTTATATTTATAAAGCATAATGCATCTTTGCTTGAAGTATCTGGTTCTGCCAGAGTAGGTCTAGGTCAGTAGTATTTTCGAAGAGGGGCACATGTTCATCAGGGATTGGCTGTATCTGAACTTTAATCTGTAGCAGCACTTCACTGATCTGTGTCCGGACTACAATTTGGACGTGAATGATGACTTGTCCGTGTGAAATAATATAGATTTCCTCAATCCTTCTGCATTCACAACGATCTATTACCTACAGGAGATTCCATACAACTCCAGTTTATCGGCCGCGCAATCTGCGAAGGCAAAGGGCGTGTTCACACTATTCAACCCCTCTCCCATGCCAAAACCGCAAGCGGCTAAGGACTTCATTAAACACGTAGACTGTCTTGTCGTGGTATGTATTAAACATACTTTGTGCATACGGGAAGCCAATGCGTGGTATGGAGCTGATTCTCTCCAATTAGTATGTACACTGTAGGTAGATTTTGGAGCTACAACCTATGTATGTACGCAGATATGCTTTTGCTTTCCTCATTTCCTCTCTCCACTGCAAATATGGACTGATGTGTCTCGAATTATTTCGTAGAACGAGCATGAGGCCGCCATGTTGACACAAACAAAAGAAGCTAGCATCAACGAGATGGCAACTGAGTTGCTGACTATGGGACCTGCTCATGTGATCATAACCATGGGTGGTGAGGGACAGACATATGTTCGAAGTAATGCGGGGTATGTGAATAATACTACAGTTGAGTGGTCGGTTCCAATAAAATACGGGCGAAACACGGTGTCATGTTTGCATACGTGCACATAGAGATAACCGTTGTAAATGTGTAAATTAAGGGATGATATCTTCGGGGAGCGTTCCCGTATCACCTCATCATGTATAGGCAGATCCCAACTCGTAATCTGCTTTTTGATATTGTGATTCATGTCCGTGTAGTGTTGACACTTGTATATATGCTACTACGACGCGTAAATCGTCAAGCGGTCACTAATATATATATATTCATACATACATATACACATACATACACACACACACACACACACTTGCACAAGACACACACACACACTTACACAAGACACACACACATACACGTATATATATATATATATATATATATATATATATATAATAATATCTACGTAACTCGTACTTCGTAACCGTAAACTAAACTTAAAACGTTAATTAACCTTA